AGGCGGTTTGGGGTTTAGACGGCTTCTGGATATGGTTAAAGTGTCTGCTGGAAAATTATGGTGGCGATTCAGAGAACATAATTCTTTGGACCAAGTTCCTCGAAAATAAATACTGTAAAGGCCAGCATCCGTGGCATGTTCAAATCCCACATAATGCGTCTAGTGGATAGTTGGTCACGGAAACATCCTTTTCTGGTTCAATTTATGAGCTAAAGAGCAGCCACTTGCTGCTGTCTTTGAGGGGACAAACCTTAAAATGTTTTAAATTAGTTGGATGTTTCTAATATAAAGATTTTTCTAATAGTCGGGAGATCAATTTATATTACCCTCATAGTTGTTGTTTAAATTAGTTCGAGTATCAATTTAGATGTTTTAAATAGTTGGAGGACCAAAATAAATCTTTATATTAGATGAAGAACCAATTTAGAATTTTCTATTAGTTGGAGGATCATTATAGCTGTCTGTTACTAATAGTTTGGGGGGTCAATCTAGATTTTTCTACTAGTTAGAGGATCAATTCAGACCTTCCAAATAGTTTGAGGATCAATCTAGATCCTAAAATAGTAGTTGGAGGATTGAAGTAGATGTTTCTAATAGATCGAGGATCAATTAAAATGTCTCTATTTGTTGGAGGATAAAATTAAGTGTTCCAAGTAATTCGAGGATCAATTTAGATATTATTATTAATTGGGGGACTAGTTTAGATTTTATAAATAGTTGGAAGATGATCTATTGGTTGGTTCTAATAATTAGAGTATCAAATTATATGAAGTTGAAGGATCAAAATAACTATTCCTAATAGTTGAAGGATCCAGTTTGATGTTTCTTTTAGTTAGAGTACCAGTTTAGGATTTCGTATTAATTGCATGATTAATTAGACTTTCTAAATACATGGAGGATCAAGTTAGAAGTTTCATATAGTTGAAGGATGAAGTAATATTTTCCTAATAGTTTGAGTGCCAATACATTTTTCCTAATAGTGGGAGGATGAATTTAGATAAAAGTACTAGGTAAAGGATCAATTATGTTGTTAGTAATAGTTTGAGGCTGAAATTAAATATTTTGAAAAAGTAGAGGATCAAAATCCAATTCAACAATACTTGGAGGACCAATTTAGATATTCAGAATACTTGGATGATCAAGTTAGTTGTTCCTAATAATTGTAGGATCGAATTAGCTATTTAGATTAAATGGAAGATCATTTCAATGAATCTAGTAGTTCGAGCATAATTTCTAATAATTTTAGGATCAATTACGTTTACTTTTATAGATAAAGGATCAATATAAGTGTTACTAATAGTAAGAGGATCGAATTAGGTCTCTATTTGATGCACATTTTTGGAAAAAGAATGCATTTTTACTTTTGATGTGATGAAGAATATGTGGCTGAAAAGAAGGAAAAATTATTGATGTGATGAAAAATATTATTTTATTGAAAAATCTGTGGTTGAAAATGAGTAGAAGAATGTGAATGAAAAAAATAATGTGGCTCAAACAAGCCTGTTTTCCTATACTTTGATGACCAATTTAGATATTTACAATAGTCAGAGGATCAATTTAGAATAAATACTGGGGGACATAAACTATTCTGCACATCTAAACAGAAGCTCCAAGCCTCCAACAACTTTAGTATTCTAATTTGATCCTCCAACTATGGGGAAACTCTAATTTGATCATCCAACTACATGAAATACGCAACTTGATCCTTCATCTATTAGTAAATTCTAATTTGACCATCAGTCTACTTGAAACATGTGATTTGATCCTCAAACTACTATAATAGTCTAATATGGTCCTCCATCTATTAGCAGCAACTCAATTGATCCTCCAACTATTAGAAAATTCTAATATGATCATCCAAACTATATGAAACAAGTAATGTGATCCTCCAACTACAAGTATATACAATTTCGATCCTCCAACTTTGATGAACAACTAAATTGATTCTCCAACTATTAGGAAATTCTAATTCGGTCCTCCCACTATGAGCGACAACTTAATAGATCCTCAAACTATTGGTAAAATCTAATTTGATCATCCAACTATTTGAAACACGTAAATCGATCCTCCAACTACTATGTAAATCAAATTCGATCCTCCAAGGGTAGAAGTTGTTTGAAATTTACAAGATGCACTCTTTACATTACACGTGAGGCAAATCAGAGTTGAGATTAAATGAGGCAAATATATGGAATTGACCTGCTGAGTTTGATTTGTGAATTATACTTTCCTGTAATTGTTGCTAAGTTTTCTGATGCTTCTAAGTGTTTAGAGCAGGAGTATACGATTGTTTTGTAAAGCTGCCCTTCTCAAGTTAGAATATAGTTTCTTTATTCAAGCTTTATTTCAGAATTCACTGTGGTGTAAATGAGCCTGCTGAAGCTGAGTTTTTGGTTGATAAAGTTAGAGTGAAATCACGATTTGGTGCTAAACAATGCTCAAAATTGCATCATTTACTAATTAAAATGGTCAGAATGAGATTGTTTTGAACTGAATCTTCTTGGAGCTCAAGTTGCACGCTATTATGAAAATGCTTTATAAGTGTTGTAAAAGTAATATTTGAATATGCGTAAATGTTAATTAATTTAGAATTAATACCAGGAAATATATACGTGATAATGAATGTTAAATTATTTATTTATTTTTCAATTAAATAAAATTGAATGTTAATTGCATCATACACAAACGTGAATAATGAAAATGCTTTCTTGAATGTGAAGTTCTAATTAACTTATAATTAGAATTAATAGTATTGAAATGTATAAATAAAGATGAATATTAATTAAATGAATATGAACGCTAATTAATTGAGAATTAATAATATGAAATCCATACATTAATGAAAGCATACGTGTGAAGTGAATTTGTCAAATGTACATACATTGATGGTAGCTAAATGGTTAAAAAAATTAATTATATATTAAAAAAGGAAAAGTTACCAGCAAAAATCCATTTTTTTTTTGTTGCCAAAAATCACGGGCGAAATGTGCATCTCTTCAGTAATTGATACACTTATTGGAGCAATAACTCACGCTACTGCCAGTTTAATGAGGCCATGAGCTATGACAAAGTTGTGTTGAGCATATGCTCTAGCATCTTATTGGTTTAATGTCTATTTGCTGAGGCCTTGGACCTCGTCGACTTGCACTGTAATTCATTTAGAGCCTGTTTGAGCCTCGTCTTTTTTTTTTTTGATGAAAATGCATTTTGGAATAGTATTTTGATGGAGAATATGTGGCTAAAAAATAAAAAAAAAAAGTTTTGGATTTACATGTAATATTATTTTATTGAAGAATTTGTGGTTAATAGAATGAAATTTATACGGTTGTAAGAACTTTTGAGTCGAGCTTCTACAACATTTTTAAAAACCGAAAGGATCTACTTTCAAAAAATGGATTTGAAATCCGTGAGGTGATTATGTGCATTCACGGATTACCTTTAACATTTTTGTTGTTCGGGTTACAATATTGGCATCACAACGTAAATAGGTACCGTCAAATATATAAGGGTGTGTTTGATAACACCCATTTGCCATGGAAAATGAAAAGAAGTTCCATTTTTCTTGAAATTGTGTTGTTTGATGGCCAATTTTTTCCATGGAAATTGTGCCTTTGATTTTCCACATACGCGCCTCTTTCTAGGCGTGGAAGGAAAATG